TTGCCGAGCTGTTCTTGTCTGCCAAGAAAGAAGTGGCGGTGCGGACTTTGCTCGCCTTCTTTGGAGTTCCTTGGCCGAGCTGATGTTGCTCGCCAAGAAGGAAGTCGCGGAGCGGACCTTGCTCGCCTTCCTTGGAGTTCCTTGCCGAGCTGATGTTGCTCGCCAAGAAGCAAGTCGCGGAGCGGACCTTGCTCGCCGACCTTGGAAGTTCCTTGCCGAGCTGATGTGGCTCACCGAGAAGGAAGTCGCGGAGCAGACCTTGCTCGCCTTCCTTGGAGTTCCTTGCCGAACTGATGTTGCTTGCCAAGAAGTAAGTCGCGGAGCGGACCTTGCTCGCCGACCTTGGAAGTTCCTTGCCGACCAGATGTTGCTCGCCAAGAAGGAAGTCATGGAGCGGACCTTGCTCGCCTTCCTTGGAGTTCCTTGCCGAGCTGATGTTGCTCGCCAAGAAGGAAGTCGCGGAGCGGACCTTGCTCGCCTTCTTTGGAGTTCATTGGCCGAGCTGATCTTGCTCGCCAAGAAAGAAGTCGTGGAGCGGACCTTGCTCGCCTTTTTAGTGCGGTCACCGTCTTGCAGACTAAGAACTGATGAAGAGTTACCCCGGTCAGATAGGTAATCCCAGTCACGCTTGAGCGGACGGAATTAAGGGGCAATTGAGAGGGAGATTTATGATCTGGATTGGGCCGTGGAATTGGGCCGGACAGAGTTGGGCCGGACAAAGTTGGGCCGGACAGAGTTGTGCCAGACAGATTTGGGCCGAACAGGTGTTGGGCCAAGTTGTGTGGCCCAGCCTTGAAGGAAGCTGCTCGGTTAAGGCAGCGCGTGGATTGACCGAGCTGCAAGGATCCGTGGTTACGAAGCCGGTCAGGTGAAAGGTCCAGTGCCAGGAAAGGCAAGGTTGGACCGAGGTACCTTTTTGCTCGGCAGGTAGGTCGACCGTAGACAAGCGTGAGTTATCCCGAGCTCGGCTTTGCTGAGATGCCGCCGAGTCCGGTCCTCATCTGAGCTTAGCTGTTGGAGTACTTGGGCATGAAGCGCAGCATAGCAGACGATGGCCGAGATGGTACTGCCCGGCTGCCGAGCTCCTAGGAGAATGGGCAGGCAGTTGGGTTAGGTGGTGCTCAGCAAGGTTTATGCTGACAGATGGGATAGTAATGCCACGTGTTGAGAGGACACTGGGAGTAGATTTGGGGTGCAGAAGGTATGTAAGCACGTCTGCGCCCCCCATACGCGGACAGATGAACATTTGGTGAGACATACACTAAACACTCAACACTCTCCCTTCTCTCTATCTATCCCCTGGTGTGTGTTCTAACCTGACCTTCGGAGGGGTTTTCCGGCCACACACCGCCGGGTAGCTCACCCACATTGTGCTTTCAGGTGATCGGACAGAAACGGAGCTTGGAAGAAAAGAATACGGGCTCGCCTGAATATTTGCTCCCCGTACACTATCTATAAAACAAAGGGTCTTTTTATCTAAACCTGAGTGCTCTAATTTTTCATAGTAAATTTTTGAATTTTTTATAATTAAAAATAAATTATAAAAATGCTAATCTATTAAGCTACCAATTTTAAATATATAAATAATCCCATAATTTATGGTTTTCAAAAATGAATGATAAATAAATGGGAAAAAAAAAACTTTCCTAATCTCCGTAACCTTCCTGAATGCATTGCCTCTCATTCAATAGTTTTATAAATAAATAAATAAATCTAAACCATATATGATTTATGAATTTGATATGGAAAGTAAACAAACCTATATCAAAATTCAAATTTAGGAATTTGAAAAGAAAATAATCAATTTCAAAATTCAAATTTGGGTACATTAAAATATAAGAATCAATTCATATTTTCCATAGATGGCTTCAAGTGCTTCAAAATTTTAAACAAATTTCAATTAAAATATTCACTACTGGAGTTTATGTTTTTTGAAAAAGATCCCTCTCAAATCTCTAACTACTTTGTAAGAAGATTTATCTCTAATATTTAATATTTCGTATGTTTTTGTACTGTGTATTCAATAATTATTTGGATATCTAAAGCCTTCATGCATGTTTATTTGATGTAAGTCTATATTTATGAAACAAATCTCTAATCTCTTCTCTCTCATAGTTCAATGGTTTTATATATGACCATTAACAAGTTTTCGGTGTAAGTTTCTTCTTTCTCCGCGTATCTCATTTTATTATATCTACATAAAATTGTTATGTATATATTTTTTGGATTATACTATTAGTTACAATAATTCTCCTGTCTTGGGGGGGGAGAGAATATGTGTATGGCTGAGATTAATTGTTATGATGTAGAGTTTGTGTATCTTGACCTTACATTGATGATTTTGGATATTTTTTCTAGGTTTATAGTCTTACTATATTACTCATACATTTTGTATCTCAAAAATTTATTTCCCATCTAATTTTCACTATTTTTGAGTGTATCATCTTTGTTTTACTTTACACAAGAAAAGTGATCTGTTTTGTTCATCAAAACCATTATACATATTTTCACAACAAGCTGATGTAACGTTCAAATATAAAGAAATATCATTATCAACCAACAAAAGTACAAAAATTGTCACGATCCGAACCAGCCCCTATAGGTTTAGCATCGTAACCAGCCAGTAATTCTTAGATTACCAAAGGCCTCTGAATAGAATAACGTATAATCAAGAGGCTGCGGAAGCAAATATATAAAATATAACGTCCATTGAGCTGTGTACACATATATGAGACAAAATAATTTAAACTTTATAAGCATAATCATGACATCACATAGGTACATAAATTATACGTCACCCCATGTACAAGTAACCAAAAACAAACTGTTCATTAAACAAGGGAAGGCAAAATGTTGAATGCTGAAAAAGACATAGCCATATAACTTGACTTGGATCAGAACCTCCTCGGGAGGTGCAAAAGGTGGTTGATAAAACGGAATCCCAGGCCATTAACTCTGGCCCCGATCACGTGTCTGGTCACCTACATACATAATATAAATTGTGAGCAGAAGCCCAGTGAATAATAACCAAGTAAAGGGTTTCCATGAATGATGTCCCATATCAACTCCAGAAAATAGATTCATATTTATTTCAGAAACAGAAGCAGATCCATATTCATAACCTTGTCCAAATCATACACAGAAATTAGAATTCATACTCAATCATACATAGTATATCGATTAGCGCTAACAGAACAGATGCAAAACATATGGTGATTATGAGTAACCAGTTCCATAAAGGAACCTCCGGATCTGGGTAACAGATAACAGATATGCTGAGCTCCATGATGGAGCCTCCAGTACAGGTAACAGATGACAGACATAATAAGTTCCATAATAGAACCTCCGATACCAGGTAACAGCTAACAGATATCACATGATACTAAGGATGCCACAAATACATGTCAGAATTTGGACAATTATTCATTATACAGAACATAACATTTCAGAAAACATATCTTATTTCATCATACAGAAAATAAATAAAGTTGAACATAGCTTTACTAAATTATTACTCACAGTTGGCTTCGGGTGCAGACAGATAGAGCAGACTAATCAAACGGTTTACGGCACGTGACCTAGGCTGCCCAATTGAGCTTCAATTAGTCAAAATCTTGAGTTATTCTTCAAATCTCCTAGCAATGGCCTTCTCTACTTCAAGTTTGGTCCCAAGTTCTTTAGTCTTTCACTCTCTCTCACATTGAGCTCAAAAGATGAGGGAATGAGGGTGTCAAAATGTGTAGGAAGAGTTAGGAGTGGCTTATATAGGCTTGCTTAGTGATAATTAATTAATTTGGCTTAAGCTAAGCAAAGTGGCATAATTAATCTAATTTAATCGTTCCGAATTGAATTTCAATTAAACCTACTATAAAATTCTAATTAACACAAAAACCAAGTCAATTTCTGAATCAGATGCTGATAAGGCCTTCAATTCGTAGGACAAAACATAAACATGAACAGATCTTTCTATGATAAACAGATATAAACACAAATAATGCAACTCATAGGCAATTATCGCAAAATTTCACTTTAATTGCTTATAATTACTTATTAAGCCTTTTTAGTCGTGAATTATACGTTAATCATGGGTCGGGATCTCTACAAAAATAAAATTGTATAATGCTAATAAAATACAATCTCTATTAAAAAAGGATGTTTTCTTAGATTAAAAAAAAAATTCTATATCTATGTTCAAGGCAATGGTGTATCTAGTTCGATGGAGGAACAATGAATAATAAGAAAAATAATAATTAATTAATTAATTAATTAATTAATAATTCAAACAACTAATCTATTATTTAACAAGATCTCAATAATCACTACAAGAATTTACACAATTGCCGACCACTTTCGCCGACCAAAAAAATTTTGGTCGCAAAAAAATGACATTTGGCGACCAAATATTAATTAGTCGCGAATGATCATTATTTTTGGCGACCAAATATTATTGGTCGCAAAAGGTTATATTTTGGCGACCAAAAAATGAGTTGGTCGCAGAAAGTGGTATGTTTTTGCCGACCAACTATAAATTTGGTCGCAGAAGGTCACATATTTTTGGGCGACCAAAAATTTGGTCGCCAAAAACTTATTTTCAACAACCAAAAAAAATTGGTCGCCAAATTAGTACATTTAGCGACTAATATTTTAGTCGCCATTGATTGAGATTTGGCGACTAAAAAAATTTGTCGGCGAAGGTACCTTTTTTGCGACTAATATGATATTTGGTCGCCAAAAGTTTGGGAAGGAAATTTGAAACGTGGAGGTGGGAATTAGGGCTGGGCATAGGGTCATTCGACTCGCACAACCCGTCCTACCCGACTCTACCCGTACGCGTATGGGCGGTTTCGCAAATATAATAGGATAGGGTGCGATTTGAAATATTTCTAATTTTCGGGTTGTCGGCGGGTTACGGGTTTGAACCGCACCCGACCAAAACAAAGAAAGGAAAAAAAACCCTAAACTCAAAAACACATTACGCAGCTCTCATCTCACACTCTCACTCTCATCTCACTCTCATCTGATCAGTCTCTCATACTCACTCTCTCACTCTCATCTCATCACTCATCTCGGCCGATTAACCTCGCAAGAGATCGACTCTCACTCATTGCAAGATTGACCGATCGACCTCATACTCTCATCGCACCGATCGACCTCCCAGGTACGGATCTCTATGTCGCTGTCTCTGTCTCTCTTTCCTCTCCGATCTCTGATTTTTTTGTGTTATTCAGATCTGTGTCACTCTGTGTGACTAAGATTGTTTGTCAATGGTGATTTTTTGTTCATTTCTGTGTCAATGGTGATTTTTTTTTTTTTATCTGTGACTCTTAGTTTATTTGTTCATTTCTGATTGTGTGTTATGTGTCAATGGTGAGGACTTTGATAGTGGAGTCGATGATATTCATACTCCAAGACAGTGTAACAATAAACTGGGAAGCAAGAGATAATGCGGAGGAGTGGAGTCCAGGCTCAGGATTTGAGGGTTGTTGAACCAGAGCTCTCGAACCCCTCTGCGATTCTCCGAAGAGAGAGGGCTATTGTTGTGAATTTGGAACATATTAAAGCGATTATAACTGCGAATGAAGTTCTGGTGCCAAACCCTAAAGACCCTTTTATGGTTTCATTTGTTCGCGATCTCGAATTCAAGCTCTCTGATTTTGGTGTAAGTACTTTTCTTCATTTCTATCATGAAGTTAATTTGATTTTGATGTGATTAGTGTGACCATTCTTTGGATGATTTATTTCAGTGGGTTGATCTGTCAATATGTTGGGTGAAATTAGTGTAATTTTGTTTTTGGAATTTTGTGTCAACAACACAACATGAAAAAAATTGAGCAAGCTGAGAAAAAACTTTTTACACTTTTTTCACATAATCAAAAATTAAGACATCCTGTTTTATTAATATAATTGTTAAAAATTCGAGCTTATAACCATGAGAATGTGGGTTTTAGTGCAATGAACTACGACTTTGTGTAAATAAGAAGAAAAGTTAGATCCATACCAATCCACCCAATCTGGAATCCTCGACTAATGTAGACCAGCACTGGGCAATGGCCATTTCCGTTTTCCTTATTATTGTATATATATATTTTGCAATATAATTGCAAAAAAGTGCTTTTTTTGGGTGATCCAATTACAATAGTTAATAAACGTAAGTGGACAGATGATAGTTACAAGCCCAAATTGTTGGTTAATTAATTTTTTTTCCTAAATATTGCTAAGCAGAGAATAATATACCCAGTTTATTGTTACTTTGATAGAAAAAGAAAAGAAAGAAAAAAGAAACTTTAGCATCATGACACCACCTAACGATTGATATAATTTAAAAAGAGGTGTATGATTGATTGTGTTGCTTTGTGAAGGCCACTATGGGAAGCGATAAAGCTATGAAACAATCACCCTCTAATACGCCACTGGAGGCAAGTGATAGTAGTCCTAAATCACCAGATGAAGGGTCAAATAGGGGGAACTCAAAGCCGTTGCCATTTGAGTTCAGAGCTTTTGAGATTTGCCTAGAATCTGTCTGCAGGGGCCTTGAATCTGAGGTATGACTATTAATATATATATGTCCTAACGCTTTTGCTTTGTATTTCTACTTCTTCACTTGAGCTGTGATAAAAAAAACTAGCATATCAGTTTTAGGGAAATTGACAGTTTTGATCAAGCTTTCATTGGGTAAGAAACTGCATTTACATTATGTCTCGTATTTTCAAAATGGGATTTCTCACCCATTTCAAATAACAAAATCCATGGACGTGATGGTAGTTTATTATACTTCTTATTTATGTTTTTCTTTATATTTTCTGTGTACATCATGAAATATATAAGCACCCTGATTTTTTTTGTATCTTAGATGAATTTATGACACCATTAACCGAGGAAACATGGACTACAACCTTAAAACTTCAATATACGTACATGCATGCAACAATCAAGCTACAATTCAACATCTAAACCATGTTTGGCTCAAAACTCCATCAACATGACATGAACCAAGCAAGAATCCACTCAAAACATGAATAAGAGGACAATGGAGCTACCTTTAGTCTTGTAGTTCAAAAAGGGAGCTCAAATATGCAATCTACCCTTCAACAATTCTTCAATTCTAAGCAATATTGAGATGAACTCAACTCCTCAAGTCTCTCTCTCTCTCTCTCTAAGGTCGGCTAGAACAAGAAGAAATGGCTGATGAAATGTTCTTCAAGTGTGTACATAAGGCTCAGTTATGCCTTTTGGAGTCACGAATGCACCAGCTGCTTTTATGGA